AAGACCAGGCTAAATCAGCGGATGTCTGGCCAGAGCCAGTAGCCTGAGTGGACACAGATAAAAATAAGACCCCCGGGTGCACTTCCCTGAAGGTGAGTGGAATTATCACAGTTAAGCAAGAGTGTGCTCGCGAAGGCTAGAGAAGGATCTAGAAGTCAGGGCAGGAGCTGAGCGCGACTAAGGTGACAACGTCGAGGACTGACCCCGTCCCCTCTGACTGACGCCACGACACCCCAGGGTCTCAGATTCCGTCACAGGGCAGCCCTGACCAGCGGGACCACCCGGGCTTCCCCCAACACCCAGGGCAGGACCCGGACAGGTGCCCACAAAGTTGTCCATCCTCCCTCAGCATGACACAGACCTGTGTGTGTGCGTGTGCAGCCGATGTCCCCTGCACCCTGCCCTGTCCCTGAGCCTCCCCACCACACCCACCCCCGGCGCCCATCACAAGAGACGCGTGCACTGAGAGACGCATGGGGGGGCCTCAGGCAGAGAAACACGGGGTGCGCCCCACTCCGTAAAGTAGAATGACATGGACTCCATGCCCAGAAAGGGTTAAAGCAAGTGAAAGAAACCCCTGACCAGGGCTGCACCACGGTACAGCGGGGAGGGTATTGGCCTTGCACACAGCTGACCTGGGTTCCAGTCCCCTGAGCACCGCCAGGAGTAATTCCTGGGTGCAAAGCCAGGAGGAACCCCTGAGCATCGCCAGGTGTGACCCAAAAGGTAAGGTAAAGGTAAAGGCCCTCCCGTTGATCGTCAATTTGCTCGAGCGGGCCCAGTAACGTCTCCATTGGAGACTTTGTTGTTACTGTGTCTGGCATATCGAATACTCTCGGTAGCTTGCCGGGCTCTCCGAGAGGGGCGGAGGAATCGAACTCGGGTCGGCCATGTTGGCCGCTTGTAAGGCGAACGCCCTACCCGCTGTGCTATTGCTCCAGGCTTTTTTATTTGCTTTTTTATTTGCCCAAAAAGCAAATAAATAAATAAATAAACAAACCCGTGGCCAATGCAGGCGAGCGGGACGGGGCACAGGGACGGTTCCCCTCAGCCCCGAGCTGATGCTGCCCTGCCAAGGACGGCCCAGTCACGGCCACACGGAGGCTTCTCTGGCCGCCCTCAGGGGGGATGGACGTGTGGGCACTTGCTGGTGCTGGAGCGAGGGGCCACCAGGAGTCAGGCCTGGCTGCGGAGATGCCCAGTCACCTCAGACACTGACCTGTGGTCTCACCACTCACTCACGCCTCCCGCATAGACGGCCCGGCCCAGAGCCCTCCTGAACACGGGCACCAGCCTGAGCCCCCTGAGGACCAGCATCCACCCTCACCCTGGGGCTCCCCTGCTGGTCTCGACCAGCCTCACGGCCCCTGAAGAGCTGGGCAGAGACCCCCTGCCCCCTCCGCTCCTTCACAGACCCGGCAGTCTGTGGACAGTGGGGGGCTTGGCCCAGGGGCAAAGCTCTTGGCAGGGGGCTCTGCCTAGCCCTGTGCCCCCACCTGAGAGCAGAGGGGCCTGCCTACCTGGTCCACACTCTCCCTCTCTGAACGCCCCACGCAATGGAGATCCAGACAGGTCAGAAGAAGGCAGACACATGGGGCACCCGAGTCCAGGTTGAGGGGCCTGCACTCCCTCCCTCCCTCCCGGCCACCCTTGGCACCTCAGCAGCCCGGTGACCACCTCATCCAAATCAGGATGCGATGCCCATAAGTACACACGTTTCAGCGGACGTGCATGGGCACAGACCCACCAAGAATCACACACTACCCACTTGGCGGCCAGGGCTGGAGTTTGCTTACTCGTACCGCCGAGGCCAACGGGGGCTATGCTTGCTGGGGGGACGCTGCCCGTGAATCGTGCACAGGAGGACATGCGGGGCCGGGGGGAGCAGGGCAGGGCACTGGCTTCACCAGCCGATCAGACGGGTTCAATCTTTGGCACCACATTCACACTCCTGCACGGGGCTGGGGTGAGCCCCGAGCGTCGAGTGATGAGGCTTTGAGTTCAGATCTTCCAGCTACTCCCACAGGAAGCGCAAGAATTCCTCCTTCGATAACAAAGGGAAGCACTCAGGGAAGCAAACGGGAATAAGCGCTCGGGCTCATTCCAGACTGCAAAGGTGGCCGGGAGGGCCACGGGGGCTTTGCACGCAGGAGGCCTGAGCTCACCCCCGAGGTCGGTTCCCTGACAAGCCGGACCTGGCAGGAGCCCCCAGAAGCAGCCTTCCTCGAGGCTGGAGCACTCACCCCGCAGGGACAGGGCCTGAGGTGGACGCCTGCACGCCAGGAGCGGCCCTGGGAGCCCGCAAGCATGGCCCAGCCACCAGCGCTGCCGGAACTGGACCCTGCTCAGTACGTGGCCTCTGTTTATCCGTCGGTCAGAGGAGCCTGCCTCCCCGGCCACTTCCTGAGCCACAGCGAGAGTGCACAGAAGGAAATCCTGAGGAAGTCCTGATCTGCCCCTGGGAACTGTCCCCAGGACAGAGAAGTGCTCGGGATGCTTTGATGACAGGCCCGGCGGCAGGCGGCACCGTTTCCTGGAGGAAGGGCAGCTCTGTCTACACAGCGGGGTCTGCACAGCGGGGTCACAGCCAGAGAAGAAGCCAACAGTCTCGACACAGGAGCTTCTGGAACCAAACTGGGAACCTCCCTGGAGGTGCCCCCAGGAGCGTCTCCTGAAGGCTCGGGGGTGCTGAGTCACTGCTTCTCCTGCTCTGGGCATCGGCCGTCCCTGGGCCGAGGAGGAAGCCAGGCCGCTGGCCAGAGGAGACCTTCCGGCTTATTCTGGTTTCTCCTCTCTCCTCTATTTCCGTTCTTTCTTGATTTTGGGGTCACGCCCAGCAGTGCCTGGGAGGGTCCCGGCTCTGCACTCGGAGCTCAGGCATCAAGTCCTGGGCTCCAGCGTGCAAAGTGCCTTGCAAGTCTTTTGAGCCGTCCCTCTAGCCCGGCATAAAGAGGGAATTTTTTTTTAATTCAAAAATTTTACTACTAAGTTTAAAAATATGTGTGGAAGCCAGGGCATGAGCTCAGCGGGGAGGGCGCTGGCCTTGCACACGGCCGACCCGGTTCCATCCCCGGCATCCCATAAGCACCTGAGCACCGCCAGGAGTAATTCCTGAGTGCGGAGTCAAGAGCAACCCCTGAGCATCGCCGGGTGTGACCAAAAGACACATACACAGACACAGACAGACAGACAGACAGACAGACAGACACACACACACACACACACTTTACTAAGTTTTGAATGTCAAAAGTGTTTTTTAAAGTTTAAAAAAATGAACCCCCTTAAAGTTCTGGGGTATTCTTCTGTGTGTGTGTTTAGTTTTCTAAGTTTTTCAGGACAGCCAGTCATTCCTGTTGAGCGAGGGGGTCCCGGTCCCCCTGTGTGCTCAGTGACAGGCGCACATTGCAGGGGACGTGTGGCCGCGAGCAGCCATGGGGGACAGCAGGGTCCGAGCCCCTGTCCTGAGCCAGCGCAGGCACAGCCAGTCCAAACAGAAAATAACACTGGCCGTGACCAGTTCATTTGCTTAAAGGGTGAAAACGGCAGGTGCTGGGGCCGGGAGGAAGCTGGGAAGATGGGCAGATGCCTCCGGAACCCCTGACTTGGTCCCGAGCACTGTGCTGGGGGCAAACCCAGAGAGGCACTAGACCCGGTCCGGAAAATAAAAATAAAATGACAGCACCCGTCTACTGTTTACCAAACATCAGACAACCTCACCATCAAATAACCCAACACGACTACACCATGATGCTGAAACACACATTTATGCAATTGGACAAGCTGATAGGAACCTAAAATTGAATTACTTATTTGCTAAACTCAAAATACACACGTGAGCATGGCATCCGTCAAGAAGCAGTCCGATAACGTTTTTATTGGCCTCCTACGCCAGATAACAGGCTTCAAAATTTACAGAGAAAGGAAAAAGAAGGGAAAGCCACAACCACCCGGAGGGCGTCATTCCGAGGAAAGCGCCTGCCCTGCCAGCCGGGACCCGGCTCCCGGTCCCAGCGCCCCGACTCTCTCTCGGCCACTCACCGATTGTGTTTGTTTGTTTCGTGTGTTTGGGGTCACACCCAGCGGGGACTAGGAGTTACTCCTGGCTCTGTGCTCGGGAGCACCCTTGAGGGTGCTCAGGAGACCAGAGAGAGTGCCAGGGATGGGCAGTCGCCCCTCCCTGCTGTGCTATGCTCTGGCCCCCGCCGCGAAACAAGTGTAACCTAAGGACAAGGGTATCTCCCTCCAGAGAACGTTCTCCTTCACGGAACGCCCACCGCGGGCTCGGGAGAGGCCCAGCCAGACTCCGGGCAGAGGAATCCACGCGCCCACGTCTGGGAGGGCGGCAGGCAGCCGCCACAGCCCAGCAGGCTCCTCCCGGGCTGAGCGACCGACCCCTTGCCCTGGCCTGGTGCCCGGCGCTGCCCGCGCGACCCCTTGCCCTGCCGCCGCGCCCTGGCCAGGGAGGACAGGCGATGAAAACACCGGGAGAGGCTCATCCCGGCCCCCCTCCTGACCTCCCAAGGTTGAAGCCCCCCCCCCACCCCCCCGGGCCCGCTGGACCCCCAGGGAGAACCACACAAGCCCCTCCGGGTGTGGGCAGCGTGCTCAGAGGGTGCTCAGGAGACCAGAGGCGCAACTGGGCAGCGGGAGAGGCGCAGGGAGGCAGGATGAAAACAAGAGGCGAGTGGCCGCCGGGGAGCGGGGGGCTGTCACCAGGGGCTCCGGAGGGGGGTGACCGTCACCAGGGGCTCTGACCCCGGCCCGCGGCTCTCAGGAGCGGCGCCGGCTGCTGCTGCAGACCCCGTTAGGGGGGACCCGCGGCCGGGCCTGGAATAAAGGCTCCGCGGGAGGCGGAGGGAGGTCTGGCGCGGGTCCGGGGCCCCCGGGAGGGCCGGGAGGCGGGAGCGAGGGGCTGCGCGGGGGGCCGGCGCGGAGGGAGGGAGGGCGCGCGGCGCGGGGCGCGGGGGGCGCGGGGGCGCGGGGGGCGCGGGGGGCCTCACCTCCCGCAGCTGGGCCAGCTCGCTCCGGAGCGCGTCGCAGTCGGCCTCCAGCTCGTCGTAGCGCTGCTTGAGCGCCAGCTTCTCCTCCAGCACCACCAGCCCGTACTCGGCCGCCTGGATCTTCTCGTGCGTCGTCTCGCTCAGCTCCCGGCTCAGCCGCGCGATCTCCGCCTGGTACTGCTCGGCCGACGGCAGCGCCTCGTCCGCGGCCATGGCCGGGCAGCGCGGGACGGGACCCGGCCCAGGCCCGGCCCGGCGCGGCCGCTGCGGCGGCGCCTGCACCTGCCCGGCCGCGCCCGCCCAGTGCTGCAGTCGGGAGGGGCGCGGGCGGCGCGGGCGGCGCGGGGCGGCGCGGGGCGGGGCCCGGACGGGATGCGGCGGCGCGGGGTCGGATGACGCGGGGTCGCGAGGCGCGAGGATGCGGGGGCGCGGGGTCGGGGAGACGCGGGGCGCGCGGGGAGTCGCGGGGTCGGGATGCAGCGGCGATGCGGGGGGCGCGGGGTCGGGGAGACGCGGGGCGCGCGGGGAGTCGCGGGGTCGGGATGCAGCGGCGATGCGGGGGGCGCGGGGTCGGGGAGACGCGGGGCGCGCTGGGAGTCGCGGGGTCGCGAGGCGGCGAGGATGCGGGGGGCGCGGGGTCGGGGAGACGCGGGGCGCGCGGGGTGTCGCGGGGTCGGGATGCTGCGGCGATGCGGGGGCCGCGGGGTCGGGATGACGCGGGGGTCGCGTGGGGCCGCGCGGTCGGGATGCGGGGGGCGCGCGGGGGCGCGGGGCGCAAGGTCGAGGTGACGCGGGGCGCGCGGGGAGTCGCGGGGTCGGGATGCAGCGGCGATGCGGGGGGCGCGGGGTCGGGGAGACGCGGGGCGCGCGGGGTGTCGCGGGGTCGGGATGCAGCGGCGATGCGGGGGGCGCGGGGTCGGGGTGACGCGGGGCGCGCGGGGTGTCGCGGGGTCGGGATGCAGCGGCGATGCGGGGGGCGCGGGGTCGGGGAGACGCGGGGCGCGCGGGGGTGTCGCGGGGTCGGGATGCAGCGGCGATGCGGGGGGGCGCGGGGTCGGGATGACGCGGGGTCGCGTGGGGCCGCGCGGTCGGGATGCGGGGGGCGCGCAGGGGCGCGGGGCGCAAGGTCGGGGTGACGCGGGGCGCGCGGGGAGCCGCGGGGGCGCGCGGGGTGGTGCGGCCCGTGGGGGCGCGCACGTGTCCCCTGGGACCGGGAGGTCTCCACCCCCGAGGTCAGTGGGCAGCTGGGGCCGACCCGGCGCGGAAACAGCCCCCTGGGCACCCGGCAAAGGCCTGGTCTGCCGGCCCCAGCTAGACCCTCCGAAAGCTGGACGGGTCGGAGGGACAGTGCGAGGGGGGAGGGGGGTCTCTTGCCTGGCACGTGATGGACCTCCGGGAGTGACCCCTGAGCATCGCTGAATGAGGCTTCTAACCCCCTCCCCAAACGAGGGCCACCAGACCCCCAGCCACGCGCCCAAGGAGCCTGCCACCCAGTAGGGGCTTCACATCCCCAACCCCTCGCTCATGGGGCTGGTCCTGAAGACCAGGTGAGGGTCAGCACGGCCCCATGTGTAGACCGCCGGGCCCTCTGCTGCCCAAGGGATCCGCTCCCCAGTGCCAAGGGGACCCACCCCAGACCATGGCCAGGGAGGACCCAGCGACACACCACGGAAGAACATGGCTACCACTGAACCTTCCCAGGCCGAAGGGTCTGGGCTGAGAACGCTGGGGCCTTCGGGCCTTCTCGGAGTGGGGGTGGGCTGAGTCACCCCCCACCTGAAGGCACAGCACCTCCCAGCCACAGCCCACCCCCTCCTCACAGATTCGCTGGGCTCCACAACTGAACCTCATCAAACTGGGAAACACCAAACCAAACTGTTTGGGATCTACAGCTCCTGGGACTCCCTTGCCTGGTGACAATCAGTACCAAGTAAACTCATCTGTGCCTTCAAGGGGGCAGCCTGGGGAGTGTCTGGGAACCCGGACATTGGTGGAGGGAGGGGCACACTGGCGGTGGGACTGGTCTTCGAACAGGTAATGCCTGAAACAACTGTATTATGAATGACTTGGTAAATCACAGTTTTGTAGCACTGTGCTCCCGTTGTTCATTGATTTGCTCGAGCAGGCACCAGTAACGTCTCCATTGTGAGACTTGTTGTTACTGTGTTTGGCATATCGAATACGCCATGGGGACCTTGCCAGGCTCTGCCATGTGGGCCAGATACTCTCGGTAGCTTGCCGGGCTCTCCGAGAGGGGCAGAAGAATCGAACCCAGGTCGGCCGCATGCAGGGCAAACACTCTACCTGTTGTGCTATCGCTCCAGCCCTATAATGTTTTAAATTATACTGTTTTAAATTATAAAAATAAAATATGGCAAAGTGGAAAAAAGGGGAATTCACTGCATACGTAGGTGATCTGATCCCCGTGTGCCAAAGGAATCCAGCCCCTATGTGTGAAGGCGATCCCGTCTCCCAAAGATGCCAAAGATTTCCACCTTCCTGTGCCAAAGGGATCCACTCCCTCCAAGATGCCAAAAGGGATCCAATTCCATGTGTCAAAGGGACCTGCTCACCAGGCGCCCGAGGGGTCTGTTCCTACATGCCAAAGGGGTCTGCCTCCCACTCCCAATAAAATCTACCCCCAAAGCCAAAGGGGCCCATCCCCACGTGCCAAACAGGACTGTTCCCGACATTACAAGAAATCCACCCCCGCATGCCAAAGAGATCTCCACCCCAGTTGCAAAAGGGATCTATTCCCAGGACTCTGCTCCCCGCATGCCAAAGTATCTACCCCTAGTGCCAAAGGATCCACCCATACATGACAAAGGGATCATCTTCACACATTGAAGGGGCTCAGGGCCCAGGAGTGTCGGCACGAGCCCAGGACCCCCGCTCTTGTCACTCCCAGCCCCACAGCCCCATCCCTGACTCATGTCCAGGGTTGGTCTGAGCAGGCGGTGACCGAGAGGCTGCAGCCCACGGCCCAGGCCTGGGGCATAACAGGGGGACACACATGTGACAAACACAAGGACCTAGGGGGGCCACGGCAGCTGGGGTGGCCCCATGCCTCTGAGCACTGAGCCTGAACGTTGGCGCCCGGGAGTGGTCCCCACAGGAGTGGGCTCTCGAGGGCCTCAGTGGCCTTCAGGACCTGCCCTGGATACCTGCTCCTCTGCCGCACCACCTGACCCCAGACCCACAACAAGGCCCAGCCCCAAGGTGCGGTCCAGGGCCAGCAACGGCCTTCCAGGAGAGGTCAGTGACTCTCCCTGGGATGCAGGAGAGGTCAGAGAGTCTGGCGTGGGACACACAGGACCAGAGATATGGGGACATAGTCACAGACAGCAGGACACTGAGTCCCAGACACAGGACAGAGTCACGGATGCTGGAAACACCAGATCCCAGACATGGTGGGGGGATACTGGATCCCAGGTTCTAGGAAATACCAGATCCCAGGCACTGAGGGACATCAGATCCCGGGCCCTGGGCACGTGGACTTGGGAAGGATCCTCAGGAGGAGGAAGTACGGTGCACCTTTGTGGCTGACCAGAACCATCCGCGGCCCCGTCCCAGCAGGCAGCATAACTGAGGCAGTAATAACCAGAGAGATGGACTGTCCCTGAGTGTCTTGACCGGGCCTGGCTCCGCGCTCAGCCCCTCTCGGAGGGCAGGAGCCCCCCTGCCCCCAGGCTGAGCACTGGTGCAGGAGAGCATCCCAGGCAGATCGGCCCATTCTTCATATCTGCACGGAGCTCATGGAGAGTGCGCACGGGCCAGGCCTGGCTCAGGAGGGGGCACAGCCTGGCAGTGGGGCCCCGGCTTCAATCCCGTGTCCAGAAGGGCCAGTGTCAGCCTGACTCAGAGGCAGGAAGAAAGCAGGTGACCTGGGGGCCGGGCCTGTGACCCCGCAGGGAGGGGACAGGACGGAAGTAGGGAAGGGAGTGACCGTCTGGCCAGGAGAGGGGGCGGGAGGCCAAGGCGGTGGGGGGTGGGGTGGGGGTGGGCACACATCTAGACCCTCTGTGGAGCCCTGACTGCCCTCCGCCCCTGGGGGGCACTCCCTCAGGCGGGCAGTGAGTCCAGAGGAGGCCACACCCTGCACTGGGTCTCTCTAGGTGCCCCCTGGCCCCAGGGCCCATCCTGGAGGGGGACAGTGAAGAGGCAGTCGTGACAGACACAGGCATCGCGTCCCGTGACGAGAACGGGGCTCCCTCCAGATGGGCACGGTCCTGTGGTGATGGTAGGGACAGGGAGAGGGGGCGCTGGCCACACTGACCACGGGCCCCTTCCACCCCCACCACCGCAGGTCCCCAGCACAGTGAGGCCCTCCCCAGAGCCTAAGGCCCGGGAGACCAGAGCCAGGAACAGGGGTCCTCAGAACGGGGGCTGTGTCGAGGGGTGGCCAGCAGGGGGCAGCCACGTGCAGAGGTCAGTGCCAGGGTGGGCATGGGTGCGTGGGAGCCGTAGCAGGCCCCTGGCAGACAGGGAGCCCTCGCGCCTGAGGCCGGGGCCTCTGGGCACCTCTCTGCATGCCGCATGGCCTGGAGCATGAGTCCGAGGGGCCAAGACCCCAGGCCCAGACCTGGCACAGGCCCTCTCCCCGGGGGACACATGCAACTGGGCACAGCTTCGGCCTGAGTGAGGCGGCCCTTGGGGAAGCGGTGGCACAGCTGGAGACACGGTCCAGGCGCTTGACGGGTGGCGTCGGGGGCGGGGCCGGGAAGGAGGAGGCAGAGGCCGGGCACAGCCAAAAACACAAGAGCCGCGAACTCAAGTCGGGGTTCAGGCCACCCCAGCACTCTGTCCCCAGAGAGTCTCTGGCCCTACCCTTCTGTCCCTCCTTCGCTCACAGACCCCAGGGCTAGCACGAGCAGTTCAGGGCTCCCCACGTCCACCTGACGGACAGAGAAGCGCCCCCATCACAGCCCAGCCTGAAGTCACAGGAGGGACGGCATTCCACAAAATCTCTGGCCTTTCCCCAAACTTCACTATTGCGTCTACAGAGCAAGCACCGAAAAACATAAAAATCACACAGTTGTGCTCTCAACAACGGGACAGGAAATTGCATTTTAAGTGAATTTCCTTCCCAGAGAGGGAACCAGATTTATAATGTAATTTTACCCACTATTTGATCATTAGATTAGATGTGAACATGGCTCAGCTGTTGTCTGTTCCCACAAAATAGATGCAGGGAATGGACTGCGTAATCAGCTGTGGCTTCTG